AGGGGAAGGTCAATACTCCATTTCAGTACTAGCATACTTTGTTCATCTACCTCAGCTTCTTCCTCGAAGGAGTACAGTAGCCTAAATATTCCAAAGGGAAAGGTTCAAATACAGGGTTATGTGGGCTTTGCCAGCTGATATTCTTGGGGGGGGGGGGCGGCGTTGGGGTTTTGTGGTTTTTTTTTCCCCCCTGCCCCCAGTTTTGGACATGGAGGAAGTAGGAAGGGATGCAGAAGTAACTTTCCTAAGCCTGTGCCCTGTGTTATTTCTGGCCTGCTGCTCTGAGCTTTCAAGAACTGTCATGGGATGCTCTTATTTTCAGAACTATTTACAATGATTCTTATTTTAGCTTATTCATTATTGCTTATGCTGAGTTTCACTGTTGGGTCATTGATGGAAAACTTAATGTGAATCTCAGTTGTGAAAAACCACTGAGACATACTTTCCCTCAGTCTGGGATAAGGAAAGCTGTCTTGGTGTTTTTGTTTTTTTGTTTTGGGTTTGTTTTTTTTTTTGACCAAAAAGTAGGATTCTGGTGGCTAACAGCTGTTGCTTAGGAAAAGAGTTGTAAGAAATGGAGTATAACATTAAAGGATGGGATTTCTGCTTCCAACACTCAACAGGGTATAAGCCACAAGCTCTATCAGATTCATCATTCGATTGCTGTGATTTGATGCATCCCTGTGATGGACGAGCCCTTCATTAATCTGTCTGACTCCTTTTTGACAGTGACCTGTGCTGAGGCCTTCCAGTTAAATGTGCCTTAAAGGCAACTCCCTAAGAATTTCATTGACTGCTCCCAGCCTTTATACTGGAAGAAATGTTGAATACTTATTTCTTATTTACCTTCTCAGTGCCATTTGTGATACGGTAGATGTTCCTCATGCTTTCCTTCTCTGATTTTCTATGATTGGAAATTTCCTCCCCTTGCAGAGAAGTTGCTTCCTACTTCTAATCATCATTTTATCTTTTTCTATCCTTAAGAATTTCGCTGTTTTTGAGATAGACTGGCCGAGAGCACAGGCAACATTCAAGATTAAAGTGTATTTTGTATTTATGACTGCACAATGATGTTTATTTGTGTGGGTTTTCTTTTTTTTCCCTTCTTACCCATTTCCTGTAATTCTTTCACTTTTTTGGCTACTTGTGAGCAACAAAGCAGCATGGCTTCCTTCCCCATGAGTCTCTGCTCAAGAACTTTCTGCTGATTCACAAGGCCTGTCTTCTGTTCCTACATTTCCTACATTTCAAAGTACACTGTCCTTCATTTGGTTTTGTGTGGCATCTGAGGATGTGGCATTTACGATTTCAGTTTACTCAAGATGCTAAGAATGCTTTTTAGACCTCAGAAAATCAATCAATGCCTTTGCCTGCAGGAATTAAGTGATGCTTATGGAAACAAACTTTGTCCAGAATAGAGTACTTGAACTCAACATGCTTACAGCAGGGCCAGAATCAGGCTGAAATCTTAGTTGGCTCTAGTAGGATCTATGTGTTGACATCCTAGATTGTCTTGTTTCCCTCTTGTTTAAAATCAATTTTAAAGAAAATTTTGTTACTCAAACTCATTGGTATATTTTCCTTAAGTAAGATGAATTTCTCTTACTGCAGATGCTTGCATCTCTCAAATAGTCTTACAAGTGACATCCTGTGTTGTTTCCATAGCCTAATCTAATTTGAGAGTTCCTAAGCACAGAATCAAAATTCAGTATTGCTAGGCTTTAGTCTTCCACTTTACCCACATCAAGATATTTTGGTTGTTTTTTGTTGTTTCGTTGTTCAGGCTCTGTGTGCTTCATCACTGTTCCTGCGCTCAGTATTGCAGGTTTCATAATACGTGCACTTTGCATACGTGTCTGCGTAACAAACTCGATGACAAATGTGGCATGGTGTCTAATGCCTCAGTGCATATTACCATGTAACTGTTAGGAAACATTGGATTTGTGGCATGTGACCTAGTATTTGAACAAAGCAGTGAAAAGTAGCATTATGGATAATTTTTCTCAGAAGTCCTTCCTATTCTGTTCCAGGAACCGGCTATAGGGTGCTTTCCAGCAGCAGTACAGTCCTTTTATATATTTCCTCCTGTGCCTTGGGTGTATTATTTGTAAAATTATACGTCAGATCTACCCAAGCAACACTACGCTTTGTATTGGAACAAGGTACAGTATCAGCCAATAAATGCGGTCTTTAATTGCAATTTCCTTTTTTTGGGAGAAAACGGAGCCAGGAGGGAAAAAGGAAGTTTGTTCTTTGGGTGTCCAGCTCAATTAATTTTCTTTGTTATGTTCCCCAAGGTCCCTAAGACGCTTAAGAGGTGTCATGATGTCTGGCTTATCTGAACCATCTATTAAATGTTGGCAGTGTGAGTCACAGAATGTCCCCCGGTGTAGACCAAGGCTCTGATCACGCAGACGAGCACGTGTGGGCCTCAGAGGCTCAGTCCAAGTTCAGTAACCTGCCTGCCTGCAGCCTGCTCTTCTCCGAAGCACCTTTCGATGGGCTCAGACTTTCGTGTGGTTTGTGCTCTCCCTCGCTGGCATTCCAGATAAAGCTTGTCGGGGTGTGAGGGCAGTGACACAAAAGCTAATAAAGGAAGACCTCGGCTATCCATCGTGGTTACAAACCAAACAATCTGGTGTTGTTGTTGAACTGGCCCCTTTTTGTAATAACAATAAAGAAATCGCTATGGAACTAAACCAGCAATGTTTCTATTTTTAAGGAATATTTTAAGGGACTCTCACGCTATCTTCTGTATGTGCCAAACAAAAAAGTGTGAATCAAAGCTACTTGTTAGATTTAGATTTGCAAGAAGTAGTTACCAAATGAAGGGACTTACTTGGGGTTCAGGCATTGAGAAGACAAAAGACCATGGTGATAGATCTTCTTCCCCGTATCATGAACAATACTGGGATTCCCATAATGAAAGGTTCTGAGAACATCTCTCTGTGATCGCTAATGCCCAGGCTCTCAGAGGTACGCAGGACCTGCTGAGAGTTGGCAGCTGGACCCAAGAGGAGAGAATGACTGCCAGTCAATGCTAGTCCTCTGTCTTCATACAAAACCAGAAGCAGATGTGAGACTAAGAGAAAAATAAGAGGCATCTTGCCTGTTCCCTCTGCTGTTGCCCCATTTCTGCTTGTTCTTCAGCTGTAACTTCAGCCTTGAAGGCAGTTTCACATGAAAGGTTTTTAGCCCTTCTCTATAGAGTCATGTCAGGTTTAGACTGGGTAAAATCCTGGCCTGCAGATTTCAGCAGGGTCAGAGCCTCCATGCTGACTGGTTCCTCTGTCTAGAGGTTGCCAGCTCTTCCTGTTGCACCCTCTAATGCAAAAATGCCGAAGAAACGTTTTTTTAAAGCTTTGACTTGCATATTTTTTCCCATAGATGTTACTCCTTTGCAAATGCAGAGGAGCACTTTGGGCAGAAGCCAGGGGGATACATTATTGTCCTTTACTGGTACTTTATTGCAGCAGCAGGATGCTGCTGCAGTAGGATTGCCTGATGCCGGAGGGATGTCTGCGGGAGCACAGCAGAGGCCGTGTGACTGTAGTAGACACTAAGGTTCTGCACATGTGGGGCGTTTTCTTGTGTGTTCTCCGTGATCTTCCCAGGTGCTGTCAGGTGGACCTTGCATTGCCATGAATGTGATCGGGGCAAACCTTACTGCTGCTGTAGAAAAGGCAGGAGCATCTGGCTGAGAATATCCTAATGGAAAGTATTTGTTTCAAAATCTTGTTCTCTGGCTTTTCACATGGAAAGAAACATTTGGTCTGTGTTTCTTTCTTTCTGTCACTCACTAGCTGTAGTGCAGCTCTATACCATTTTAACATGCAGATGTCATGAAGAGTTCGTACAAGACAAAATAAGTATGGCTAACAATTTATTATTTGTATTATTTGTAACTCTTCAACCTAAGCAGGCTTGTCACCTAAATTGTCTCAAAAGTAAGCCACCACCATTCTGCCAGTATCAACCTAGTCATCTGTAGAAATCATACGGGAAACTGCCTGCTGGAAGAAATGATGATATTACAATGTTTCTTACATTGGTTTTTTAATGTTTGGTGTTGGTTTTTTTTTTTTTTTTTCCTTTTTTGTTTCCTAAGAACTGTGTGCAGGGATTGTACTCACTTCATTCTCATAATTGCTTGTGCAGAAGACAGATGCCTCCTGGGGACTCTCAGGAGGCACATTTTATTGGTTTGTGTTGTTTTTCTTAGTTTAAAGTAAGGACTTAATTCTGTGAACTGGTGACAAAATATGATTTACCGGGAAACGTGTTGCCTCCTAACCCCTTTGTTATTACCAGTAGCTATTGAAAATATGAAGCATGAGGCATTGAAAGTAAAGTAAGATGTCATCTGCTCTGCATTTCTTGTTCAGTGCTGTACTTATGCCCATAAAGCTTGTGCCCACCTCTGTAAACAAGTGTGTGCATGATTAACTTGTTACCATATATTGTTCCAGAGGGTACCTCTACAAATGTTTGCAAGTTCAAGGACCAAATGTGTTGATCTAATAGAATGTGACAAAATTAAAATGTATTTGTACCTGGAGAAGTAAAAGAGGTCATTATTAGCTCTGAATTGTTTTTCTTCTTTCTCCTTTAAAGCAGTTGTTTGCAGGAAAAAATACTACGTGGCTCTGTGGTCTTTGAGGCATGGAGCATCCTACTATTCCTCTTTAACAATAGTCTTTCAAATAAATATGCTGCCTATTGGCTCAGCCAGTGAGATTTGTCACACATACACATGCAAAATATATTTCAAAGACTTATCTGTCATGTAAGTTTTTAAAACTATTTCCCCTCATTGTAACTTTCTGGCAATTAAGGCTACTGATTTACACGACAGCAATTTAATCTATTGTCTTGAGAATCAGACGGATGTGACGTTTGGTCTTTTTCTTTCCTTTTAAAAGAACAAGAGTTCCTGGCTTGTACAAAAACAAGAAATTTCAGACCGAAGCCACTGCAGTCCTGTCATCTGAAGGAACACAGGAACAATGGTGTTGTAGGCTATAGGTGGCAACTGGAGGAGCTTCTTGTTCATGTGCAAGAGGAAATCTCACACAGAAGAAGGTACATTCATTTGTAATTAAAACAGTGATAAAATTAGAGGGGTATATACTGGCAGATCTCACTGATTGCATTCTGATTTGTCAGTGGCACCTGCTCTATTAGAATTGGGAGAAACTGTAAGCCTGCAACTTAGAGCAGACTGGGAGGGGAAGGGGACTGAAGAAAAGGGGTTTATTACCCTGTCTTTTTTCTTTCCCTGCTTTGTAAAACTGAAGGGTTAACAAACAAAAGCAATATCTTATTTGGTCACAGTAACACAGTGCATGCACTAAGAATACACTAGCGCATGCACTAAGAATACACTAGCGAGTGTGTAATCTGGGAATAATGCCTATTGTTTTCTTTACCATTATTTTGTAGTTGCATTCCTATGCAGTTGCCACTTCTTAGCTGTCCTGCAGAAGTAACAGCCTTATGTCAGATTGGCATCTGCAACATATTAGACTGAGTTTTATAATAGGTCTTTTTTTTCCTGTCTTTTATAAATAAGGCAAACTCAGCATTTATTTATGTGGCTGCGAATTGGACCAGCGTAACTGACATCAATAAGAAGTGTGCATCTGTAAACTGAAATCAGAATTTGTCTTTGCAAAATGTATTCTAGTCTTTAATTGGAGTGTTCTTTTAGGGAAAGGTGTGTCTCATCTTCTGGCATTAATATATTAAGTATGGTATATTTAAGACTCTGTAGTGGCTTATATGATGACTGAAATTAACTCATCTAGATGGAGCTCCCTACAGCTTTCATCCATTAACGGCTAATGTCTTGCCACAGAAAGCATCTGTAGTTCACCATCTGCATGACACTCATATCCTATTATTATTTTTAAAGGCCTGGCAGTATAGGAGGTAGTTTATAGATGTATGGAGAACAAAGGCTGACGTTTTGGTTGTAGAAAGCAGGAGGCAACACTAAAACTGATTTTGGTGAATGGCAGTTTTCACCCTGGGTCTCTAATCTCTGCACAGTTTCCTCCTTTTACTTCTTGCCTCTTGTCTTGACCATATTATCACCCTGAAATCAGTGGATTATAAGCATGTAGTTATAATGGCCTGACAACCAGACCTGTTGGCTGGTGCAAAATCTTTATGTCTTTCCCTTCATGGATGTTTGGGCAGGATGCAAATTGTTTGCAGCAGAGGTGACTTCTACGGGGGCTAAGTTGGCTGATCCAGTCTGGTGTGCTTCTTCATGTCGCGTTGTCTGATAAATAATGCTGTGTATTGAAGGGCTTTGTGTGTGCAATGTATTAACTCGGGTAAGTCGGAATAGCTCTGTATGTTGGGTTGCATTTCCTGTGGAGGTAGCCCACATTTCTCTGCAATGAGAAGTGAAAATGGGAACAAAGAATAGTTAATCTCCTAGATTACCTACTTTAAAGAAGCATGGGCGGGTAACTGAATTACTGTGAAATTCTGCATGGATTATGGCTTTCTGAAATGTTGTAGAACCTCAAAAATAACTTTATAAAAAAAGGATAGAAAATGGTGAGTTGTTGTGAAACAGACTAAATACCCCGAACTAAGGATGTTCTAATGCCTCTCTTGACTTTTGACAGATGCTCCTCTTGGCAGTGCTGCTAACAAACCTACTGCTGGCCACTGTAATATCAGGTAGGAAAACATTTATTTTCTGATGTCTAGGATCTATAATATGTTTTCACTGTTTCTTCTATGAGATTTTTTTTTTTTTCCCCTCTTTTTGCCCATCTAATCTTCCAGTCCTGGATCAGGCAACATTCTCATCTTGCTAGCAATGTCGATAAAGTTACTTCTTTTGGCTCTTTACCTTGTGCTGTGTTGAGTCACAGAGACTCCCTGAAGTCAGTGATGCTTGGATGAACAAATTCGCTGCTCTCCTATTGATTTTAATGGGATTGCAGGCAGGCACAAATGAATGAATGTATGGTATTCCTTAAAGGATCAGGACTGAAATTACCCATGCAAGGTTTGGGCCAGTAGAAATAAAGAGAAAAAGCCATTTCACTAATGCATATAATAAAAAAACCCTCTGTGCTCAGTCCTGTGGGCTGTCGTGCCAGACGCACAGCCTGCCTAGAAACTAGAGCTAAAGGTCTAGGACATGCAGTGATCAATGGTGATAAATTCCAGCAGATAAATTCCTGAACTACAAAATGAATGTTTTACATTGCAAGTTACGTTGTGTTTTGATATGCAGGATCATCAGGTTCTTTGCTTCAGGAGTCATCAGTTTCCCGTTGCAGCCTTTTTGGGAATGATCACATCAAAACTTTTGATGGTTCTTTCTACAATTTTGCTGGGGACTGCAGTTATCTCCTTGCTGGGGACTGTCACAAGCACTCCTTCACACTCTTAGGTGAGTCTGAGCACGATACCAAGAGGAAACAAATACAAAATATTGTAGGGATGTGGCATTGCCCTTGTGCTGGGTTCCGTCACTGAGAAGAAAAGACAAATAGCTTTGCCCTTTGTCAGATAGCATAGACCACTGCATGAAAAGATCTTAGTGGTGGGGTTTTTTTTGTTCATTTGCTTGGTTGGTTTTTTTTGAAAGCAGGATTACTTCTGAGGGAATGCTGTCACTTTGGCTTCTGTTATCCCTTGGTAATACATGTCACATGTAACTAAGTTGCCAAGGAATGGAGATTTTCTTACTGGCTCTTCTAAAGAGGGAAAGTGAGACCTTTTTCAATTTTGAATTTGCTAGAGGAATGTGGCTGTTAAAGCTGAGTACAGGAATAGGAGATAGATGACCCTGTAAAGCCAATTTTGCCCGATGCTAAATACCACAGTAAAAAAATTCCCATCCTGCAGGACAGAAGGCCTTTGAATTAGCAAGAGCCCCTACAGCATTATGCTTGGGGATGGGCAACAGATGATATGAGAACCATAACTGTATGTTACTTTCATACCAAACTCTTTTGGCAGATATTTGTATATTAACTAATAACTGCTCTGTATTAGTCATAGTTTAAGATGACTTTTACGGACGATGAGTAAATTGAAGTAGACTGATCCCATCACTCTGAAAAGGAAACACGTACCAATTTAAATATTTTTCTTCCTCAATTTAAGCAACTTGGTATGATTTTTTGTATGTAGAAGAACCTACCAGCATATGTGAAGTATAAATTGATTGCAGTATTTTATATGATCAAATAAATCTTTTAAAAAATGCAAACAAACCCATGAGCAGAGGCTTTATTTTTTTATTGGGCACATAAGCATGGCATAACCTATTTTTGATGCCTATCTTAGCATACACGTGTGGGTTTGTTTTGGTTTTGGATACCTGGCTGTGAAGTGTAATCTGCATTGCTGAGTAAAGCGTCTAGGTCTGGGCAAAGCTGGCTACCTCGGAGCAGGAGGTCCAGAGCGGGCAACACATTGTGCAAGGAGCTGCTGTAAAGTCAAAGCTGGACAATGGGCAAAAGCAGAGAAAGGATGATGTCTTAACCCCCCACCATCTTCTCTCTGAGCCTAAGAAAGTGATCTCCATGTCTGTGCTGCTCCTTTTGAAAAATTTCAGAGTGACTTGCTCCCTAGTTGGATAGCCAATATTGGCATCCACCCCTTAAAGACCAGCTGAGATGGTTAGAGGGCTTATCAAGAACAAGGATATCCAGGCTCAGTTCTTCCATCAGTTCAATGGATTCAACCCCCTTCTCTTACCACTGAATTAGGGGTTGTTCTTGGAAGGAAAGTAGGAAGGGAAATATCAGGGCAGATCATCAGGCACATCTCCTGTGGAAACTCTCCTCCAGTCTGCATGGTAGGATGGAGAATTTACTGGCTAGAGACAGTAGCAGGGAGAGCGTGAGTCCACAGCCAGTGCCAGGTCATGCACCTGCCAGTGGTTGATGCCAGCCCTCATCCTGGGACTATCTGTTCATTTCATGTTAAACAATTATGGGATGAAACAGATGGATGGCTCTTGAAGATGTTAGGTGATACACTCGCAACCCTGCAATGTGTACTTACAAGTTGTCCTCCTGAGTCCCAGAACTAACAATATTTGCTTATGTTTCATCTCTTCAGGTGACTACCAGGATGGGGAGAAAATTGGTTTCACTGTATATCTCGGAGAATATTTCAATCTTCGCTTTTCCTTAGATGGAGATGTGATGCAGGAAGACAAAAGGTACCTGTGGGAACAAGTATTCCAGCAGACAAAACCTGATGTTCTTTGTGTGTCATATTCTGAGAAATTCCTGTTTTTCTTCACAGGGTTTCCATACCTTTTGCCTCCAATGGCATATTTATAGAGAGGGAGACAGGTTATTATAAAATATCCAGCAATGAGCATGGCTTTGTGGTGAAGATTGATATCAGTGGGAATATTCAGATACTCCTTCAAGAAACACACTATAATAAGACCTGTGGGTTGTGTGGCAACTTTAATAAATTTGCTGAAGATGACTTCAGAACTCAGGAAGGTAAGACTACGACTAACTGATTGTATTTTCATGTACACTCTGCACACCTTTCCTGATGGGTGATTCAACAAAGATTTTGTTGATCCAGCAAAATGTTTCTGCAAAACCTGTCAGGTACCTCATCTTGATGCACCGAAAAGCTATCTAAGTTCTTTCATCTTCCTTTCTCCTGAAAGGTATTTGCTGTCACATCTCATTCCTGAGCAAAGCCCAGAAGTCTGAATTTAACATTTTTAGAAACCTCAAATCTTGAAATACAAAGATAAAGCTACAGGCTAAACAATATACAATATAGTGGGGGGGGGACACACCAACTAGGAGAAGACCTAGCAAAAAAGATGTGAGGAATACTCATTGATTCAACTTCTAATTTTTCACAAGTTGGGAGTAAGAATAGATGGAGTTGCAATACCAGAATACTAAATCCTGGGGGTTGCTGCTGGCAGGTTTGTACTTGGATTTGGCACAGGATGCTGTTCTATAAAGTGGTTACCTTTTAGTGACATTTCCCTGTCCATATGGGCTGTTGGGTTGGAGGTGCACCTTATATCACAGCAAGTCCTAATGAAAGGGAGACACAAGACTGCTTTGGCTGCTCTACTCACTTTTATGCAAAGTCTGCCAGTGTGGGTGAAGACTAAGAGTTTTGGAAAAGCACTGAATAAGACCTTGAAGGACTGATCTGGATTTGTGGCATTTCAGAAGTTTTTTTAAATTCTTAGCACTTATCTGAAGAGAAAAGGTTTAGAGTAAATTTAGTTAATACATTAATATGTTAAGTTGACAAAGTAAAGTATGTATTAAAAAGAAATGATATAGAAAATAGAAAGAGAGGCAAAGCAACTTGGAGAAGAGCCTGGCAGTGCTCCAGAGATGTGTCTCACTGACACTTGGGATACATAAGCATAGCTTCAATGTACAGAAAAAAATTAATTTCATAGTATTGTAAAATGATTGCTCAGCCCTTCAGCAATGTAAATAGTAAGAAACAAACTCAGCTCACAGAATTGCTTGGCAGTACTTGGATACCTTGATGTCTGAATGTGTTGAGATCTGAAGTTTACATCTTTTTCTTGAGCAATAAATAGGAGTAGAGGCTATTATAAAAAGCAGAAGCAGAAAAGGAGACTGTATTGCCTTGCACTGTTCAAATGTAGAGGATTCCCTTCTGCTGCTCATGTTTAAATCTGTTTCATGCTGTATTTGTTTAACATGCCTGAGACTGTGTCCTCCCTTTTTAAAAAAAAAAAAGAAAACCTGGTGCTTTCACAAACACAGATTTCTGAATGTAATGAAGTACATGACAGGGTTACTGCTTGGAAGAGTTGGAAAATAATAGAGAAGGTGGCAAAGAACATGCGTAGCTCTTACTGTACAATGAAGGCCCTGACTTCTGTAACCTGTGTGGACATACAGATCTGTGATTTTAGCCTGAAGAACAGAACTGTATCTCAGCAATTCTGCCAGTTTTTTACTATGATACAATAGACCTTTCATTTAAACTAATTTAGAAGGAATTAGAATTAATTATGTTTGAATTTGTTGTATCGGTGAGGGATGTCACTACGCCCACATGTTTGTCTCCTTGGCAGCTCTGCTGCCGGGGTGGTTCATATGACTTGCTCCGAGTAAAAGCAGTTTTTGATTAATTCAGACCTTTTTTTTTTTTTTTAAACTGTTGAAGCTAACTTCTAGGTGAGGGGCTGTAAAAGAAAGATCTAGGTAGCCTATTGGTAGCCTATGAAGCAGTTTACCCTTTTCCTTCCACTGCAGTTTTTATTTGCTCTCCTTTTAGCCTGATTAGATCTCATAAAGGTCAACCCAACCCAGGATGTGAGCTTGGTGTAATGACTTAGCAATCTGAGGGCACTGAAGGGTTACCTTAAGGTTGCCAGCAGACTGAACTCTCCCGTTGATGTGTCCATTACTTCCTGTTAAAATCTGGGCATATTTTGATTTATCAGATTTGGCCCTCAGTTCTAATCTGTTAAATATATTTCTGGTCAGAATTTGTATTGATAATAAATACAATAAGATCTTTGAGCTTCAGAATAAAATGCAATGGAAGTGCAGTGCACAGAGGAAAAAGACAACGATCTAATGTTGCCAAGATTACGGGCTCTCATGTGGAAACCCCTAGGGAGCACTCTGCCGATCTTAATGTCAGAGGCAAAGGAAGAGAGATGGTGCCAGAGGTTATGCATCAGGTATTGTGCTATAGCCAATGAGCTTGTCAGATAGCTGAGATGTTTCAAACCTTCCTGGAGGTTTTTTAACCAGGCATCTCAAGATGTACTAGTTTAAAACTGCTTTCATTTACACTGAAATGGTAAGTTGTCTGTTTGCTAATAGTCCTTGCCTGGTAGGAGAGGAGCCTCTAAGAACCACTGTGATGGAAAGAGGTCTGCAGCTGACATGGTTTTTCAGTCTCTCACAGACTGTAGCTCACACGGGTTAAAAGCTAATGCAGTAGTTTTGTATCATCTTTGTACCTGCTTGGGTAGGAGGAAACTGATGTGACCTGATGACCCGTTTCTAGGGTTTCTTTGTGGCACCAGAGGACAAGATCCCAAATTTGTGCAGAAGTCAGAGTCGTCATGGATACAATCTAGACTATAAACTCTGTCTTTCATGTAGCATCACACGTTTTGTCACGGTTTCAACAAAATGGCAATGTTTATGTTGAAAACAACATGAATTTTCTGTATTTTAGATAAAAAAAAAAATTGTGGTTTAATAACACAGAGGGTTGGGTTAGTTTGCCATGGTTTGCTCCTGAGAAAGTGGATTATGATATAGAACTTAATTAATTATATTTGGATTGTTTTGGGGTAGCGGTGAAATAAGAGGCAAAGTACCTGCTGTATTATTGGATATTACCACTTACAGCAAGTAGGTAAAGGAGGCATGAAAGAAAGGGTGTTTAAACTTAGTGAAAAGTGTGTAATTGTTTTCCTTTTCTCTTGATATATTCATACTCATGTTTTATAATCTATTTAATCATGTGCTATTGTCATGGCACTCTTATGACTCCTCACTGTGTTTTGGTGTGGAAACTGAGAACTGATAGCCCAGTTAGAGGATAATACACGTCACATCTGTATACACTTTTGATGCTCACTTATTGGCCTCCTGGAGGTCTAAGTGATGAGACTCAAGCTATGATACCCTAGCAAATTAACATTGGTAGGACCTAGCTTTGAATGTAGTGGCCTTAGGCAGTAGCTCTTGAACCTCAAAACCCCCCAAACTCTCCACGTTAGGTTTCAGAGTTGCAGACACACACTTTCATTCAGACAGAGGATGGAGTGCTGAGTCACTGTCATTGACATAGCTGGTTACTGAAGTAGTTCATCCTGTGGAGAACTGCTCATGTCCTGTCGAGACTTACAAACAAGATTGATTATATTGTACGTGGTTGCTTGTTTATTAGATATGGCAGTAAAACCAAGCCAGCTGCCCCTTGAGAGTTTGTTCTCACACTTTAAGCATAACTAAAATATAAAAAGTTCTTGGAAGCTTTCCAGCGTTTTTTGGTTTGGTTTGTTTGTTTGTTTGTTTTTCTCCTAGATCCTAATGAAGGAGTTAACTTCTCCTCTGCATTTTCCTGCCAGCTAGGCTCTGGTTCTTTATAGCCATCCTGTGAATGCTTCCAAGACTTGGTTATTGAACAGGGTCTGCTTTCTGACAAGATCATACGCTTCTAACTGGTTGCCAGTCTTTGCTCATATCAGAAACATGAAGTTGAGCCTTTTCTAGATGCTCAGATATCTCTTTGGCAGCCTTCAGCCTGTGGCATTTGAGTGTCTCATGGTCATTGTCATGAGCGTTTTACAACTGGGCATCCAAAGCACCAGCCAGAAGGGATGACTTACATAATACTATGGAGGAAATGTGACACAACACAGGCAACTTGATCCTGAAATCTCCTCGGGGCATGTGCACATGAGCAAGTGGCCAAAACCCCATAGCCTTGCAGCATGTTAGGGGTTGAAGGGCATGCCCTTACCTTGCAGAAAGTGTAAGGTAATTTCTCCCCAATGAGAAAGGTTGCAGTGCAAGCTCATGGAGCTTGTTTGTATGCCTGTAGCCTCAGTCTTTGCCTAGTACTCTTATCGTTGAGCTGTCTGACACTGATATTGCTGTGATAGACGCTTGGATGTCTAGGTCAACATTAAAGTTTATTTGTGCAAAAGAGCTCATTTGAGTCCAACACAGGGATATTAATCCATCATTTTGTTATTTGTGCATGTTACACATTCTTAGCATTATGGAAGAAAAAAACAACCCAAATTAATCCAGCAGCCCATTATGTTTTTCTTGGCATTGGCAGGAAGTGTGTTTCTGGGAATCTGTCTCCAAATTACAGAGACATTAATGATAAAACAATACCCATGGCTAATTTTGGGTAAAGGCTTGATATTCTGAGCCTGCTCCAGCTGTCAGCAACATATTCCAGCCTTTTAAGCTGCTGAAATACAGAATATGTGATGCCACTGGAGAGTGAATATAGGTTAAACAGGTAGAAGCAGGCAGTATCTGCAAGGAAAAACCTGATGTTTTGCATAATGTTTTTGTTCCTGAAGTAGTATAAATGTGTATGACTGAATATGCAACTTCCCTGTGTGTGGTACCTGTTATCGGAAGCTTTTAAAGCATGTTCCAAACTCACAGTGATGCTAGTGCAGATTTCGTGCCCCCCCCCCCCCCCAAAAAAAAAACCAACCCACAAACAAACAAACAAAAACCCACACCCAAAAGTTTTAGTCATTCAGAAATCCAAATTTCTTGGCATTTTAAAGGATATCACTAACTTCATTTTAGGCAAGTTTAAAGTTTTTGTTTGGCCTAAGTAAATAATCTCATTTTTTCTCTTGCATTTTAATTTGAAAGCAAAGGGGATAGATTCACAAGGAAATTTAGCTGTCATTTACAAACAGTACAGATGAAGAAGACTTGCCTTGTACCTGTCTTCATTATATGGTATTCATCTCAGATGC